TTGGTGTTTTGTTGTACAAATGGACTTATCAAATAGTTCTATTAAAACTGTTTTCAAAAATATATTTTTCTGAAAAGTAAATATGTGTATCTGCACAGTAAATCAAAATTCAAAATTCTGAAAGATTATTCTTGCTACATATTCACAGACTTCAACCAGTTTCTTAGCCATATCTCTAGTAAGATGTCGCTGACATTTTTCTAAAGAACACAGTTTTTTCAGCATGGTTTTATTATTTTTAATTTTAATTTTTTCCATAATATTGCCTGAACTCTTTTCCAAAATTGCTTTTCGTGGTTAATCATTTCAGAGATGCCGATACCTTCTGTGTTAGTTCGCTAGGGCTGTCATAGCAAAACGCCACACACTGGGTGGCTTAAACAGCAGAAGTTCATTTCCTCACAGTTCTGGAGGCTAGGAATCTGAGATCAAGGTGTCTTCTGGGTTGGTTTCTTCTGAGGCCTCTCTCTTTGGCTTGTAGATGCCCCTGTGGCTTCACAAGATCTTCCCTCTGTGTGTGTGTGTGTCTGTATCTTAATCTCCTCTTCTTGAAGAAGCACCAACCATATAGGATTATAATTCACCCCACTGGCCTCCTTTTACCTCAGTTACCTCTGTAAAGGCCCTGACTCCAAATACAGTCTGAGGTGCTGGTTAGCACCTAAACATATGAATTTGGGGGGACACAATTCACCTCATAAACACCTTCTATTGGTTTTTATTTGGGAAAAACCCTACAGATATTCAGAGGAAATTCTGCTAAATGGGGGATATTCTCAATTCTATTTTTTTGTTAAAATGTTCAAATATTTTAACTGAAATATTACAGATACTATCATTTTGCTTCCATCCAGAGAAGGTTTCTTCAACAAATACCTTTATGACTCCTTTGAATGTTTCTCCAAATTTAGATGCTACAACATTATAGGCCTTTTCAGAGTTTTTCTACACTACTATATCAATAAATGTATCCTACTGAAAATTGTAGCTAAAATAATAGTAGCTCTATAAATATATTTTCCAACAAATTAATATTTCAGAATGCAATTTTAAAATTCAAAATTGTGTCATTATATAGCATTTGAGCACTTCTCAATTAATTTGTTTAATGCCTCCTTCAGAGTCTTCCTATTTGCATAAATTTGTAAATAATATTAACTTATTAAAATATCAAAAGTTACAGTGTTTTAGAGCTTCTTTTTCAATACTTTGATGAAATATATATAAATGACTTGGAAGAAAATGCAACCAAAACTTAGAAGACGTGTATAATTTTTTTATAAGTTCAATACCTTTGTGAAACACTTTGGATTAATTAGGGAGTAATTTTTCAATGGTCCAAACATTTCTAAAATCCAATAGACAATAGGCAGCTAAGAGAGAAAGCTTCTGCTACCACAGTGATGTTTATTTCTTGTGCTCAGCACCAGCGTTAACCTAAAAAAAGATATCGGTCAGTTCCTCTATATAAAATATTTGAAAATTTTACAATTTTATTTTGAATGACAGAATGTCAGTTTTTTTGGACACATTAATAAGTGACTTGTGATCTACAACCAGTTCCTAGGACATCTCTGCTCTGTAGGTTTTTTAATTTACAAAGAATATTGTTTTTGCATAATGTATTCCATCAATATTTCAATTTATCACCACAAATATTATGACCACAAAAAATAATTAATTTTCAATGCAGAACTTTTTAACTGAATTTACAGTAGCATTTACAATAACATTAGATGTTTCATCTTTGACAAAACGAACCGCCAAGAAAGCTTTACTTTGATTTCATGAGCTGGGGTGAAAAAAATTCAGCCATTTTTAGAATTAACTTATCTGATTTTTTATTTGAAGCATGTGATGACATCAATATAAATTTGGTATTACTTAAAATCTGTGAATGTATTCTGCAAATAGAGCCTCACTTTTGTACATGTGTACACACACATACACACAGAATAGAAAAAAAGAAGTGAATTTGGCCCACCTGTCATTATATCTACCTAAATGAAAATGTATGCTTCACCAAGTGATATAAAAAACCCCTTTGGCAACTACCTTTGTTAAATCATCATATTTAGGTAAAATCCTCTTCATATAATTAGTACTTTAGAAATAGACGCTGATGCTTGCTCAGCAGATTTATCTTCTGCTTTTCATGCAATACCAAACAGCCCCATGGTGAACAGGAAATGTTGACTAACATCTTATGCAAGTTATAGATTCATCTCAATCTTGGAAAATTCAGTACTTAATTTTTCATTACACAGTCCCTTCACCTTTTTTTTTTAGCTCAGTGCTGTCAAAAGCATTTACTTGCAAAGTAAAAAAGTGTCGTCCAACAATAACATAAATGAATGGTTGTAGATTTAGGCCCCACAGTCAATGACAAACTCTGTAGCAAGAGCATTCAGACTACTCTCTACAGGTTCAGTGGTCGGATTGCTTGGTTTGTCTGCCCCTGTTCATATTCCACATACTCCTAACCTGTATTTTCCCACATTCCCCACTGATCCCACCACCGGTGGCCTGATGACTTTGTGCATCTCACAGGCCATGGTTAAGGCCACAGCAAGGGTGGCCGGTATACCAAGGAGCAGCAGTATCCGAACTTCCCCCACCAGCCCTGCAGACCAGAGGAGATAGCTGTCCACTTCCATCCCAGCACACATCAGTGTATCAGTGAGCATCTGCAAGTGTCATTGCAAGAGGATGTAATTTAAGCTTTGTCAGAGAAGAGCCAGGAAAAGAGAGATGGGTTATCACTAGCGAATGTTTAGATTTACCCATGTATCAAAGTAAGAATACTGTGTACAGACCATGCTTGTGGAAGTAGTATAAAGTGGAGGTGTATCAAATGCATTCCAGAGAACGTTGATTCAACTAGTAAAAAATAAAACAAAACCTTAATAAAATTTTAAAACCAGTAAAACTGCTAAATGAATGGGAGGCTGGAACAACAGTTAACCGCCAGGACTATCCCAGACAAACAGCCTTGCTCCTATTCCAGCTGATGAGATGGGAGGAGGGAAATTAACTTTCAGGGGTTCTGCTTTTTATTTATGCCTGTTTTATCAAGAGAGCACAAGTCCACAGGCCCATCCCTGCCTGAACCCCCCCATGAGCTGGTTGGCGTGGAAGCAGTTCCTTGCCTGGTGAGCTGCACTCTTCCTCCGCGACGTCAGCTTTGGTAAGTGGTTAGAGAAAGAGCAGGGACAGTGCTGTCCTGGAGATGGCAGGACCGAGACCTCCCACCCCCGATGCAGTGTGCCTTTTCTTTCCATTTTCTTGGTGCCTTCCCTAAGGGAATTGAAAGGTACATTTGGCTGTGGTGTGATAATAAAGATGACAATGTCCTAATTTTTTTAAGTGAGCCACTTGTGAAATCAGTGCAGATGGTCTTGTTCCCAGCCTTGTAAGCGTGGAAGTGGAGTGTGTAGATCATCCTGCAGGTGGCCGTCATGCTCTGTCCTCAAACCACAAGTACTGCTTGCTTGGGTTGTTTAGCCCTGGAGCTGGGAGGTGAGTAAACCTGGTGAAGGAAGCATTCTTGAAGAGGTGATGCAGTGAATTACATGTCTGAATCCAGCCACTTTTCTAGGTCCTTCTGCAAGATACTTTGGAGACATATTTGTAAGAATAAGAATGTTGAGGTCTCTTGCCCCCTAAAGCCTCCTATTTCCTCTCCCCTCCTGCCTCAGGAGGGGCCCAGAGTACCAGAGATGCTCAGAGAGTTCCCAGCCACTGCCCCTCCTCTCTCCCAGCCCCAACCGCTGGAGACGTCTGGGGAACAGAAAGGTGGAGCTTCTCTTTTCCATGCAGGGGAGTATCACGCAGGTTTATAAATCAATAAATCAAAATAGACAACTTGACATTCTGAGGCAGAACTTCCATTCAATCATCTTTCTGTCCTACAGTCCCCAGTGGACCCAACAAGAGGATGGATGGCTTAAGCCCAGTTACAGCAAGAGCAGCTGGGGTCAAAGACCAGGCCCATCTGGCAAGCCTCCTGGGGGGTGTGCCCATCTACGCAGCTGCAGGAAGTACTCTTGCTGGTGGAGCTGGCATAGAGACCGTCGGACTTTCCGGCACAGAATCCACTGGGAGCTTCAGTGACGATGGGGGCCATGCTGGTACCCAGGGAAGAGGTGGGCGCTCTGCAACCTGAAGAGAACAAGAAAAGGTCCCCTTAGGTTCTGGAGCGGACTCCTTTCTCAGGAGAAGTGTTGTGTCTGTAGTATCACTGGGGGTTCCTCTCAGCCAAGGGATCATCTTATCTGAACCACTGGTTAAAAGCTCTGGGCCTGAATCAGAGCTACCCAAGTTCACAGCCCAGCTCTACCATGAGCGAGGTGACCATGAACAAGTCATTAACTTCTCTGAGCCTCCAGGTCCTTGTAGCAATCGATGTTGCGTAGTGGCTAGACGTTTGTGAGGTTTCGCCAAGTCTGGAGTGAGAAAGCATCACTCTGCAAGGTTGCTTTTGTTTAACTGAAGGTTGCCCGGTTGACAGAGGGTGGAAGAAATTCACAGAGGGTGAGAAGGGGTAGATATTTCTAATTAGGCTTTGATTCAGAAGGGAGAAGCAGCGAGGCCCGGGGAGTCATACAAATCAGAGAGAAGACTGCTGCAAAAATGCCTATGGATAGAGGCTCTGAGCATCACAACTCTTTAGGACCTGCCTCCCCGCACTCTGCTCCACTCCTAGCCTAACCATCCAGACAGAATGTAATGGAAGTCCACCATGAGGCCGCGTCACAGGTGTCCAGACCACGTCTCAGGGTCACTCAGCTGCAGAAGGCAATGAGAGGAGCAAAGGTGTGGCCCACTCTCCTCCACGGCGGGCCTGGTTTTACCTTTGGCATTGACACCAGCCTCCCGGTCTGACTGAAATCCCAGTTGGGACGGGTGGCACTGCTGGTCACCCTGCCAGCACACGGCCCAGGGAAGCATGGTGACACCTCCTGCCTAGAGATCGACCGGGTGAGTGTTCAAGGTCTTCTGAAAGATGCTGATCAGATCCTTGCGGACTCTGAGTCCAGATGCATTTAAGGGCAATCTGGGTTCACTGAGAACACAGGAGTGGGGCCTACAGACTTCAATTCAAGTATGGAGGGCTGATGATGGCACACCTGGGGCTGTTATCCGCAGTCTCCTGGACCCTTCCCAGGCCTTTGACTCAGTTGGCCTCTGTCTGAACCCTAGTCATTGACTGCTGAGAACTTGAGGCGTAGACTAACTGGAATTGGACCTGTCTTGAAAGTAATGTAGCTACCAGCTATTCAGCCCTTGCCATGTGCCGGGTGATTAAATCACTTAATCCTCAAAATAACCTTTGAGACAGATGCTGTTACTGTCATGTATTTTACAGGCCGGGGAAACTGAGACTTAAGGGACTTAGATAAAATACCTCAGAAGCAGAGCTGAGATCCAAGCAGAGACAGCCTGCCTCTGGGACCTGGGTTCTTCTGCTCTACTGACCCTCACCCCACCCCCACCCCCATCAACGCTCACATAGGATCCTTCTTTGGCAGAACCTTGAAGCATCTCCTTAAGGGGTTTGCCTGGCGTTGGGGTGAAGGAAAGGCTGACGAGCTCTCCAATCCCAGCTAAACTGGAGGCCCTATGCTCCTTAATTTTTTCCTGGATGTTGGCAAAGCCAATGGTTCTCTCCTCACAGCAGGTTTGAGAGAGGAATCCATAGAGTTCAGGGCTTGGAGCGCAACACACAGAACTCAGATGAACTCCTGGGCTCTGTGCAAGGCCAGGTTAATGTGTTGCGCAGCTGTCCGTGATAATCAAAGTACCAACAAACACAAATAATGGTTTTGATGTGTCACACACTAACCTGAATGCTTTGCAAGTATTGACTTGCCCCTCATATCTCTGGCAGTAGGCACTCTTACTAAGCCCATTTTTACAGAGAAAACTGGGGCACAGAGAAGGTAAATAAGTTGGTCAAAGTCACACAGCCAGTAAGTTAGTGACAAAGCCAGGCTGTGAACCCAGGCATTCTGACTCCACAGTGGGCTCTTAATTACTCCACTCCTCTGCTCCTCAAGAATGCAAAAGCCAGAGGAAGCAAAGGACACTGACCCAGAGGGAGAGAACCAGAGAGGTGCCCCAAGCCATGTCTACCTTATAGTGGGAAGAGCTGAGCTCTGGGGCAGCAGTAGCGGGCCTTGGGAACTAAGTCCCCCTAGACTCCAGCAGTGCTTGCTACCGCTGTTCCCTCCCATGGACAGCTGATGTTTTCTCAGTGGTAAGGGAGTATTCAGAGCAGCTTTGAAATAAATCCCCATCATCCCACACCCACTGTCCTCCGGATCACGTAGCCATCTCGAAGCCCCTCCTCTGCAGAGATCCTGGTGCTGCCACCATTTAGATATATGACCTTACGTTCCCCGAGCTGCAGTCAGCTCATCTGCAAATTGGGCTTATATGCCTCCTTCAGAAGCCATGAGGATTAACTATGCAAACAAAAGTATTATTCAAACCTAGCCTTTGAGGTTATTGTGAAATCATATTTGTTAAAAGTATAAATCATCTTGGGGAGTGATATTTACTGTACGGAAATTATACCACAACAAAAAGCTGTTTTTTAAAAAGAGTATAAATCAGATTTTAATGCTTGGCTCTTTTACATATTTAGAAATATGATATGCAGGCCTCCATTTGTACCCCAGCCCTGGGCCCCACAAATGGTGGGACAGGACTGCCTTATACCACAGGGTCAAAGATTGCACGAATGAGGCCAAACTGGCTAGAACAAAATGCTTTTTTTTAATCATGCCCCAGGACAACAAGTCAGCAGCGGGAGGAGAACAAAGCGAGGCCCGGCCCGAGGCCTGAGAGAAAGCCAAGGGGCGGCTTGGGAGGAGACACATCCGGAGGGCCTCTTCTAACCGCTGGGAATCTCACATGAGCACCCCCGCAGAGGCAGCAGCCTGCAAGGTCACCTTGTCTGCTCAGCTGTAACTTAAGCCTGGATATAAAAGACTATTTCAAAGCCCAAGTCAGTAACCTGAGGCCTGAATCAAGTTAGGAAACCATAGATGTCCACAGCTGGAAGGCTGCTGCCCATTCACCTAGGAGATTTCAAATTGTTCTGGGCCCTTCTCCAGGACGGCGTGGCCCATCCTCTCCAGTGATCCCATCCACTGCCCATCCACTGCCTGCAGTGATCCCCAGTCTCCTGCTCCTCCACCACAAAGGATGTCAGCACGGCTGGTTGGTCAGCGACGGCTCTCACCTGCACTGAGGGTATACATACGGTTCACCTCGGGAACCTGGGACCCAGGGGTGGAGCAGCAGCCAAACCACCTGCCGTTACGGCAACAGGTAAGCTTGGTCATCGGGAACGACCGTGAGACCTCCTGAATGTCTAGACTAAGAGTAAGATCACCTGTGGATGGGGGGAGGGAGGGAACATTAACAATGACTGAGACTGGCTTTCTCTTCAGTGGGTCAGGGGCATAGAGTCGGACTTGTTCTGATTTAGAAAACTAAGCATGCTGATGCTTTTGCAATGAAGAATTTGAGTGGAGTCGATGTTTACTCTACATGACAAGAAAGTCTTCGGCTCAGATTGTACTCAGTAAATGGTAGCCAAATTATCATCTGTACTGTTTCAAAAGTCTGTGGGAAGCCCATCAGAAGGATGCAACCAGCCTAAGTGATAAGGAAACAAGGCAGAAGGTCCGAAGGAACATAAGAATGGATCGATCAAACATGAAGATGCTCTCCCCCAGTCTCCTGTGTCCTGTTCTGCCCGGCTCTCTGCCCACTCCCAGCCTGTCCTGGTCTGTTACATTCACAGGGAGCCAAGGCTTCTCTTGACACCTTGAATAAGGGTGTAAGGGCCCTGGTTGCAGAATTCGTCAGTGAAGTCATCTATGTCAATAGACCACATCATGGCCCCTCCCCAGTTTAGATCCTTTAGGCATTGAACCTGACAGAGGAACAGAAGGGCATATAGAGGTTAGAAGAGGACCTTAGAGGGCTATGACTGAAGTTCAGTTCAGATGAAGATCTGAGCTTAGAAGTAGACTTATGGCTTATGGAGTTAGGGACTCCCTGAAGGGAACGGTTGCTCAGGGAGGCTTATAAGATGAAGAGAGGTCCAGCCACTATTAACCACGTCTCATGGAGGAACTATACTGCAGGACCAGTGTTCTTGGAGGCTCTGAAACACTGGAGGCTCCAGGATGAGCAGTAAAAACTAGGAAGCCACTAGCAAGCTTTAAATTGTAATTAGGTTGTCAGTTACACTGATGCCTTTGTCACGCTCTAAGCCTAGAAGGCAAACAAACATCTTAGCAAGGTCTAAAGATTTATAGGCTGAGAAATCTGGAGGCTCCTAGAAAGGCAGTCCATGAGGAGGAATGAAGGAAGGGTTTGCCCTGAGATGATCAATGAGGCAGGTAACTATATGGACTCCAGTGTCTCCTTTGTTCCCTCTCTCTCGTCCTCATTCCTACCTTCTCTCCATTCCTCACTTCTCCCCTTAGTCTTAATTCCTTCTTGCATCCTTTCCACCTTTCCTGCCTGTACCATAGGTGATACTAGACTTGGGCCAACAAAGGTCAATGGATCCCATCATAGAATGGAGCCCCCAAGGCTTCTCTCCCTCCACACAGGGTATTGAGGCATTTGACGAACACCCCATTCTTCACCCAAATGAGTGCTCTGCCCCAGAGCCTCTTGCCTACTCACCTTGGTCTCCCCACTCTCCACATCATCATAGCCCACCCACTGGTTCCCCTTGACTGCACAGGGGACCTGCTAATCCTGGGGCCTCGTGATCTTGGCTCCTTGCAGGAACTGGCAGATTTGGCAGGGGGAAGAAGAGCAAGAGAGTCAGTAATGAGCTCTTCTTAAAATGTATTGAGATCGAAAGGGCAAGTAAGCCCACGAGGGTCTTGCAGACAGTATCAGAATCTTTACCCCAGGAATCAGTGAGAGAAAAGATATACGGATGACATGCAGATACAACATACGGAAGGGATGGCCCAAGGTGAGCCCTTGGGAATTGTTGGTACTAAGGCCTCATCAGGAGGAGCCACAAAGAGCTAGAGGTCAGACAGTACTTGAGTTCCACATCAGAATTCTGCACTGACCAGTAAATCTCTCAGTTTCTTCATTTGCAAAATGGAAATAACTATAATAATGTCTCCTATATACTTACCTTACAATACTGTTGTTAGGACCAAATGAACTAATACGTGTTAAGGGGGAAAAAACAGCCTTGAGAAGAGTGAAGTGCTTTACAAGAATGTGGCATTATAATGACCATCATCATCATTTCCCGCCTGTAGACCATCTCCACTTCAATCCCACTGCTCTCCCTCTGCCCTTTCCCATTCCCAGTGTGCCTGTCTTGGGATCCCCGTTTCTATCATCAGCTATTTTCTCTTTCTGTTAGCATAGTAAGAGCTACTAAAAAAAGATAAATCTTCAGTGGGGGAAAAAATGCTTTTGAAGGTCTTACAGAAAATTCATTCTGGATTGCTTACTCTTTTTAGATTAGTTCCACTCATTCTTGCCTCAATGAGGGTTGAAAATTGGAAGTTGAATATTGAAGCAAATATCAATTGTTAAAGTTAGAATGATCTAGGGTGATAAAGTGAACAATTAAATTAAATTTTCTATGAGATAGGGGACTGTGTATCCAGTGGTCCATACTAAAATCCTACCAGCAGATTCTGAGCAGTGATGTTTCTTATCTCTTATGTTAAAAGGGTTGTTGCTATCAACATAGAGCAACCTAGGTCAGCTTCTCTCCCTCCCTTCAAAGTCAGGCACCCTGAGATTCAGTGAGGACTCTCACATGGTGACCCATGCTCCTTTCCCTTTGCCAACTGAACTGATGGTGTCTCAAACATTCCCCTGTGTGATATGAGAGAAAAAATTGAATACTACACTCATTGAGCACCTCAGTGGATGCCAAGTCCCTCAGCACAGGTTCATGGCATGACCACGCCAGTGATAGGAGGCCAGACTAGGACTCCTAGGGGAAACCAAGGTGTAGAATATCATTCTTTCCTTACCTAATCAAACTCCTACCCATCCTTCAAGGTCCAGCGTGTATGTCTCCTCTTCTATGGAGCCTTCCTCAGTCACCCATCTCTGAACTCATGGCCCTCCACATTGGCCACTCATTGGCCACTTACTCACATCTTGTTTCTCAATACCGAGATAATTTGATCAACTATTATAGTTATGCTCTTTTAAACTCTTCTTTAATTACTTATATTTGTATTCTACATTTTTTCACCTTGGCAGCAAGCTTTTTGGGACAAGGATGAATAATTACTTATTTCTAGATCCCACAGTACATAATCTTTGAGATATGGGAGTGTCCCAAGAGTTTCTGTTGGTTGAATTATAGCTTGATTCTTAGTGTTTCCTATGCTTAAAAAATTTTTTTTTCCAGACTGAAGGGCAGAAGGAAATGATGGTCTAAAATTAGCTGAACGCCTTTGATCATTATCTCTGAGACGCTAAGTCTATCTGACTTCTGGGCAGAATATGACACATTTGATCACTCCTTTCTTCTCGAAACACCCACTTCTCTGGCACAGAACTGTATGGGCTCCTCCTACCCCCTTGTTGATCTTGTCAGTTTCTTAATGGGCTCCGTTTCCTCTGCCTGTCCCTTAGGTGCAGAAAGTCCTCAGGTTTTGTCTCTCCTCACATGTGCTTTGGCTTCAAATACCACCTTCATGCTGATGATTTTAGGATCTACATCTCTAGCACAGACTGGCCTCCTGTGATCCAAACCCATTCACCTAACAGCTCACTTTTCATCTACATGTCTCACAGGCGTTTGGATTTCCCACTTACTCCTCAAACTCAGAACATCCAAAACTGATCTCATGATTGGGACCAATGGCCATTTCTGCTGCTTCACTTGTCTTCCCCAACTCAGTAAAAATGCCATTGCCATCCACTTACTTGCCCAAGTCAAAAAACTGGGGTAGTCTCCCTTTTTCAATCTCCCATCCCCATTTCTCACTAGTTCCATCTCCTCTTCAGATTTCAGCTAATGTCACTTCCTCCAGGAAGCATTTCCTGACCCCCTCTCCCAATTCAGAGTGAGGATCTCCTTCACCAATTTCTTGATCTGATAGCTATTATCAATCATCTGCCTCCCTGCAGAAACTCCTGCAGTCAAGAGAAGCCTTTCTATGGTGGATTTTACAAAATCCTGCTGAAAGGCTTCTGCTAACTCCTTTGAAAAACAAAACAAAAGAAAAAACACAAGAGGTCAGTTCCCCTCCCAGAGTACAGTGTTAAGGTTCTTGCCAGATATGAAGTTTCTAGAACAACATTAGATGGAAAGATCCTGCCTTGTGCTCAGGAAATTGATTAGGCAGGACCACCAGTCTCATGGTACCCAGGAAAAACTATCTGGGTTTCCTCCTAACAGATTTTCTGATCTATCTGATAGGACATCTATGAGGCTATTATAGTAATCAGAAGATTCTAGAGCCCCATACTCATTTTTCATGGGCAATTGCTTTGTTCTGGTGTTGTTTATTTATTGTGGATGGAGGCTCTGTTCTTTGATGGCCTTGCCCTAAACTAGAACCGAGGGTTTTTCCTCCATCAGTGGGGGCTTCCAACCAGAACCAATCTCTTCCTTTTTCTTTCCTGGTGTGGCCATGGGTTCTGCTTGTTAAGGTACTGAGTGTACCATGGAGTTTGTCTTACATGAGTCAGCACAGTGAAATGAGTGTCGTCTTTCAGATCTGGGTAGATCCAGCTTATATGAAGCCCATTAAAGTCATGGTTCCTCAGAAAGAGGATGACAGAGTTGATAAATTCCAAGTGTGACGTAGAATTGACCATGGGATACTTGGCTTTTCCTTTAGGTGCAAAGAATCCAGAGGCCTTGTAATTTCCACATTTTCTTTAAGGATCATGCACCACTTTCGTGATTAGGAAGAAAACACAATGAATGTCACTTTAAGTGTTTGGATGTGCCCTGGAACATTAGAGAAGAACCGGGGCTTGGTCCTGTTTTTCTGTTGTATTTTATTTTATTTTTACATATGAAAAGCTGCATGTAATTAATGTACACAACTTGATGAGTTAGGAGATGAGTACACTCATGAAGCCATCACCACAATCAATGCCAGAAACCTACCCATCACCCCCAAAAGCTTCTTCCATCCCTATAGTTATTATCATCACTATTTTGTGATATGAACATTTAACGTAAGACCTGTTCTTGTAACAGATTTTTAAGTCTACAATACAGAATCATTAATTATCTATACTAGACAGGAGGTCTCCAGGACTTATTCATCTGTGTAATGAAAACTTTGTACACTTGACAAATGCCTCCTTGGTTCCTCCTCCTCCTAGCCCAGGGCAACTACCATTCCAGTCTCCATTTCTATGAGTTTGACTATTTTAGATTCATTTTAAAAGTGGTACCATGTAGGATTTGTTCTTCTGTGTCTGACTTATTTAACTTAGCATAATGTCCTTCATGTTCCTCCATGATGTCACAAATGACAGCGTTTCCCTTTTTTAAGGCTGAATAATGTTCCAGTGTACATATAAACCACATTTTCTTTATCTGTTCATCTGTTGATGAAAGTTGTTTCTTTGTTTCAGCTATTGTGAATAATATCGCAATGAATATGGAAATGCAGGATCTTTGAGATCCTGATTTCAGTTCCTTTGGATAGATACCCAGAAGAGGAATTCCTGCACTATATGGTAGTTCTATCTTTAATTTTTTGAGGAGCCTCCATACTGTTTTCCATAGTGGCTGCACCAATTTATGTTCTTACCAACCATGTACAAGTGTTTCTTTTTCTCCATATCCTCCCAAACATTTGTTGTCTTTTGATTTTTGTAATAAACGTCATCTTAAGCATGAGGTGAGGGCATCTCTCTTGGTGCTGTGTAGGCCTGGGGGACAGGGGACACAGATAAAGTAAGACGGTCCTCTTACCCTCTTCAGTGCATCCTTTTTCATTTCTGTGTTCCACCCAGGTTCTGTAACCTCTCACCTGGTTTCTGGAGCTCTTATGCAGGTTTTTCATCCATGAATGATTGTTAAATTGGTGTTTTTATAGGGTGGTGAAGGCTGGAAACATCTCTTCCATTTTGCTGATTCAGTTATTTTTTAACATTTACTGTAAACTTGATCTGTCAAGAGTTCATTCCTACCCACTCTGATTCTCAGTGGCTCCAGAAGCTACAGAACCTGGATCAGTCTGAAAATCACTCAGCTCATCCCGCTGAGAGGGGGCCAAGAAAACAGTATGGAAATCTCAAGTTTTCTCCTGGTTTCTTCAGTGAGGTTCACAAATATAGCAGAGGAAAATATTAATATTGGGCATAGTATCAATATTATGCATGCAAATGTGTTCATTCTCCTTGCAAATTAAAATTAAAATGAGACTTTGGAAAGTCTTTATGTTCATTCATTCACCTGTTTGTTTAGGAGAAAACAGTATGGAGATCTGAGGATTTATATAGAAAATCAGTGTGTTTGGTTTTGGGATGCATACAGAGCTTTGTACTTTGTGAAACTAGGATAAATCAGTGGTTCCCAAATAGCTGTCATTGGACCAGGGCGAAACTAGCTACAGTCAGAGGTAGGGAGCCTGGAAAAAGCTAAAGTTTGAGTTTATTCTAAGCGAATCAGTCTAGAGTTGGAACTTGATAAAGTAAGGGCTTACTATAAGAATTAGAATTAGATTTCAATAGTTTTAGTAGAAAAAAGATTTCCTAGGACTTTTCAGCTACTTATAATTAGTCAAATAAACTAGATTAAGTGATGAGATCTTACAGAAATTTTCTAGCACTTAATGAAAGATTTTCCGTCACAGGGCAACCAAGATGTGAAAAATAACTAACCATGTGATTGATCATTGGATATTGATGCTTCCAGGTTTCCCAGGCTAAAATCTACACCCAGCATAATGTCTGAATGTGCAGCTTTTAGCCATTCATTTTCTGAGGGTCCTTGAGCTGTAGTCAGTCAGAAACAAAAGTGACTCCAAGGATTATCCTTTCCAGCAGCTTTTACGCTGAGCTCCGTAGAGTCTGGCGTTCCCTGGATTCCCATGAAAGGCAGCCTGGTGAGAACAGATGGTTCCAGGCACCCATACCAGCTTCAGCCAGTTCATGTTTATGTGTGTACACATGGCGCTTCTCTTAATTTGCATTTGAAGAAAGTGTTCTGAAATATTCAAAACAACAACAAAAATTTTGAAACCTACCTTTCAATTTTAATTTCCTCCTTTTAGAGAAGAGAAACTCTTGGCCCACTAATGCTTAACTAAACTTTACAATAGGTATGTCTGTATAGGAAAAACGTAGTCTATATAGGGTTCAGGTTCAGTCCTCTCCAGTGGCATGTTCCGGGCATTCACTCATGGTCCCGGAACTTATTATACCCTATGGATAAGGTGAGACTATTGTATATGCTAAATAGAGCATCAACTTTTAAATTGTATAAAAGAAAATCAATTTAAAACAGATTAATGGACTGTTTATGTCAGCTACTTTATAAATATTATTATGGCATGGTTTCTCATAACTTGTGTCCTTTGTGACAGAGACAAACGCATTAACAAATTGTTCTTTTTTACCGAAAACTGAAAATTTGAATAAAAATTATAATTGTACCAAACTTACAGTGCAACAAAACTCTGAAGAATATGAAAGTATATAAGAAAGTGTATAAAGCAGAAAATGTAAGTACCTACTCATTCTCTAAAGAAATCACTGTCATAGTTTGGCATGTATCACTCTTAATCCTTCTCCCCACTCTATGCATGCACGAACACACGCACGTTAACAATTAAAGCATCCTTATGTGTCACCAATCAAGATACACCAATTTACAGGCCCTTTCAACAGCTACAATTCTCCACTGACAGGTATTTTAGTTGCTTCTGACTTTCACAATTACAGTCAATACTGCAGTGAGATGAGTTTGCACTCAAAAACGTGCGTTTACTACTTCTGCACCACTCTTCGAAACATTCTTGTTTATACTCCCTCCAACAGTCTGTGATGTGGGTCTGTTACCCCCATTCTCACAAATAATAGTTATTGTCAGGCCTTTATATCTTCTATATTAAAAAAAAGATGCCTTATACTAATTTATATTAGAATTAAAAGTTGAGCAATTATTTTATTTATGTATTGGCCAAGGCTATTTCTCCTCTGAGTTGCCTGCCCATTCATATTGGATTGTCTGTCCATCTTTTTGGTATTGCTTTTTAGTTTTTTTTTTTTTGGTATTATATAAATTCATCTTTTCTCTCATATTTAATTTTCCCCATTTTGTTCACTTCATCTTTTGTTTATATTCTCTTTGTGCCATTAAGAAAATACTTTTTTTAAAGTCTGATCTGTTGATCTTCATTTATAGCTTCTGCATCTAACTGGGGAAAGAGGAGATAGGTGAGAGCTATGTCCACGCAGGATAAAGCAGCAGAGAATGAAATATGCACATCGCAGCAGTGCAAACAGAGGGAGGGCTGTAGCTAGAAGGTGACTGCAGTGCCCCGGTAGGAACCAGGCTGGCTTCCTCCAGAAAGAATGCTTTCAGTGGGATTAGAAAGCGGGTCTGGGCTTGACTCTGGTGCAGAAGAAGAGCCGGAAGCATGCATTGCTGCAGACCTCAGGGAAGTCCTGAGGTGGGAGCAAGAGTGAGTGGGAGCCTTAATGGGCATCACAGGAACTGAGGATCACCCAAAGTGGGAGTGTGATGTTGTCCATTTTTGTTACAATGCCAGGTTTAAACGCCAACTCTGGGTCATCTTGATTTACAGGGACGTAGGAAGGCAAGATCTAGCTCTGTTTCAAACCCCAGGGAAGACCTGAATCCCTAAAGCTGGAAAAAAACTATACTTCTTAACCCAAGGTTTGGTCAGAAATGTTTTTTAGGGATTTAAGGAAAAGATTCAACACCCAGTTCTGCCAGAGGAGGAAATAAAAATGAAGGATGACTTTTTATTAGTCAGTGAGGGACGTGAGGCACTGTCACTGGTCCAGGGAGAATTCCGGGCTCAGATCCCTGCAGCGCGGCTGAAGCACCACCAGCCAGCCTGGACCGGGAGAGAGTCGCGGCAGCAGGAGGCCAGAAGCAGCGCCCTCTTGTGGTGGTTGGTAGGTGGCTCAGTACCTGGGCTTGCGTCCTGAGAAGGTGCTGTGTCCCCCAACCTCTCAGTCTCTTCTTGGGATAGAGATGTCTTAGAAAAACAGAGAGGATGAATAGGGAGAAAGGAATGAATCCATCACCTGGCTCACTGTGGAAATAGGTATGGACCAAAAAGGGGGAGGGAACAGAGGCACAACACCAGGGGAAAATGCAAAGCAAGGGTGAAGAAGTGTTCTGTTCTAAATACGGCAAAATGAGTTTTTCTGGTTTGCCTCAACTTGCAGACATTCCTGAGGCTTGGCGCCTCCCCACCTTGCTTTCTGGGACCTGGTTCAGGCCTAAACCTGGTGTAACAGAAAGGGGCTTTTGTTAATGGGCCTCAAGGCAGAGGAAGAGACAGGCTCTTGCAGCATATGTCAGCCTGGGGACACACGGGATGTGTGCTAAGAAAGGCCTGTCTACAAGGCAGGACACGGAGGGAGGTCAAATGAGGCCAAGTATCCACGCAGAGAAGAGGGGCCAGGACAGGTTCACAGAGAGATATTTGCTCTCTGGTGAGAGGAGTTGCCCTGTGAGACACCCAGAGGGCCTAAATAGAAAGACTCAGCCCAAAATAAGCACTAGAGAGGGGGTGGGGGGAAAGGTTGAGCTCAGTGGTAGAGCCCATGCTTAGCATGCATGAGGTCCTGGGTTCAATCTCCAGCACCTCCATTAAAAATAAAATAAAATAAAATAAAAAAATTTTAAAGTACTAAGGTGGAAGGAAACAAACTGAAGGAGACACTCAATTACCCACCTGTCTGAGAGCCCCTTCTGCATGAGAAATTAACTGTCAAACTTGAGCCAAAAATGTCTTGCACAGTCTTCTGGACTTTGTGTGTGAGACTGAACTATGGTGAAGTCATTGAGTCATAGACCCTAGCCCTTCCCCCTCTCCACTAAGTGGAAATGTGAGGTCATGACTGTTTCTCGCTCCCCACCGTACCTTCAGGACTTGTTGCAAACAAAACAGAATCTCAGTATGTCACCGTTAAATAGA